TTTAAGAGATAAAGATTGATAAATACTAACCTCTATATATATATTAAAAAGTATTTTGTTATTTAAATGGTAAAATAATAATTATAAAATTAAGAGGAGATTCTCAACATATTACAAAAGGGTTTTTATTTAATAGGTGATATTTTGTATAATGATATAATTTAGATTATAAAATGGTAAATTAAAAAATAAAAAAATTTACCATTAAATTAATAATAGATTAAAAAAAAAAGGAAAAGCAAAAATGACTTGGATTTACCATCTTTCATTTTTTTTTCTTATGCAAATGTTTGGGAATCTACAAACCAACCGTACTTAATACCGACATTAATCACATGCTAATTCATGCATCAAATTCTTGTACAGCTAAACCCCACTGCCCTTGACGATTCAAAGTTCAATTATGAACTGAACCTGAAATTCAAAAATAATCCATCATTTTTTCTTCTTTTTAACCTTACCACTGCAGAAAATTGAACCGAATCGGGAAAAACTCACAGTCGCATTGGATATGAACGGATGTGGAAGATTTAGAACAGGACTAACTCGAACTCCATTACCATACTTCAATGGATGCTTCTGCGTTGAATTACTGTAAGGATGGTATGCAGTACTAGAACTTGAAACGGATGGTTTTCTTGAAAGAGACGGTTGCTTCTGCAGACTCTGTTTCGGAGTTTCCTTTGAAACCGGCGTTGGTTTTGGACTAAGAGTGGAACCAGTAGAATTGCTTCGAGAGAGAAATTGCAATGATCGGATTAGGCCTTTGCTTCGATTGCTGTCGCAGTTTAGGCTGCTGCTTCTCTTGAATTGCCAGAATGATTTGGCCGGCGGAGTATCATCGGCGTCGATACTCATTGATAAGAATTCTTTCAATCTCTTCTTCTCTGCTTTATCCTGGGTCTGAGGGGGAGGAGCTGGGGAAGGGATTAATTCAGGATTGGAATGATGGGTCTGTCTGATGGGGACGAATGGTTTCTTGATTTGGACGGGGAGGATCTTGCCATCGGAGAAGAGCTCATCGGCGGAGGACAACTCCGGTAGGAAGCCATTTCCAATGCAGAAATTGAAATCGGAACTAGAATCCAAGAGCGACGAGTCTAATCTCCGGTGATGAAGATTTTCCTCAGTTTGGTTGAGATCATGAGAAAAGGAGATTCGAGGAGGAGAGCAAACTTCAATTGCCATTACAGAGAGCAAAAGAAAACAAGTTTCAAATACCCATCAAAATCAAGACGAACAAAAATTTTAAATAAAGAAGAGAAAGACGAATTCAGGAAAGAGCAGCTTTAGCTTTTTCCTTTTATGTTGAGGGGAAGAGCATCTGCAACTGCAAAGAGTAAAAGACAGATATCATACATTATGAGAAGAAAGAAATGATTCCATAGATGGCAGAGGAAAATGGGAAAGAAGAAAAAAGAGATGGAAAGGTGTGGAATTTGGGCACCGAAAGGCTAGTAAATGATCTTAATTTAGGTGGGTTTCCAAGGAAACTTTTACTTTAGGAATGGAACCTAAAAACAGTGAAATAAAACCAAGTAATGAAATGATAGAATTTGGCGGCAGCCGACTGATCTGATGGCAAATCTGAAAAGATGTTTTTAACTCTAATTGTGGATCTAATGTGAATTGCAATAAGCTTTTGTATTAGATAGATGATAGATCCTTATCAATCTATTGAAAATGTATATTTTTATGGACCCAAGGTGAATTCATTTCATCAACAATCATTGAAGTAAATTATAAACTGAATGAAATTTGCACACTACCTTACTTTTTTTTTTTTTTTTTAATTATATAATCTTTGTCTCATCCTACTCTTTGATGGCTAAATTGGAATCTTGGACCACAAATTACTTTCGAGCATGCTGCATGGCTCTTAGTAAAGAAAAAAAATAGAAAAAGATGATTTTTTTTAGAGATCTTGTGTCTCATATCATTTCCCCCACACTTTAAAACTAATATTTTTTTGTAGAAAGAGAGAGAAAAAGAAAAAAGAAGAAAAAAGGAGATATAGTGTTTGGTTATGTATAATGATGAGGTATTTTTAATCTATAAGATCATCTAAAACGAGCTGCTTAGCCAAAAAGGGGATCATCAAAAAAACGTACTTATTTTGTAGAGTGGAGTGTAGTGTTAACAACACTTTCTCTAATGTTGTCTTTAGTGATAATTTTGAATTTTTAAGTATGTTTAACTTTAACTCCTATTAATAATCATTAATAGCATAAATGCAGTGTATGTTACATTGTCTAATCTTAAGAAAGTTTCAAAACAATAATTTTTTTATATTAATTTTTTAATATTTAAAAATCACATGAGATCTTTGTTAATTTAAAATCGAATTGTGTTGAATCTTATAAGAAAAAAACTTTTCTAATACTTATTTTTTCATTTGTAAAACTTAAAATTAAAATTTTATTTGAAGAAAATTAAATTTCTTCTACTTGAATTAACATATCATTGTTTGGAACAATAATGCTACCACATTCTCATTTCCTAAGTTTGAAAATGCCATTTCAACTAATAATAATAATAACAATGATAATAATAGGGGTTAATTTGAAGCTATCTCTAATTGGTGGCGACGCGAGGTTAATAATTGACAGCCTAACAATATTGATGTTCACACGAAGTAGGGTCCAATTTTGTATCGGCCATTCAAAATAATTGACTTGCCTAGATAATAATAATAATAATAGTAATAATAATAATAATAATAATAATAATAATAATAATAATAATAATGAAAAACTTTTACTTCTGTTTTTTTTTTTTTTACTTCAAAAAAATAATTGACTTGCCCCAAAAAAGGGGATATAGGGGCAAAGTATTTATTTGTTTTTTTTTTATTTTTATCTTTGTTGCATAATGAGAGATAATCATCTCTCGTCTTTTATCACACCTCACCTATATATCATGTGATTCGAATTCATAATTTTTTATTTCTAGTAAAAGGAGGTAACTACTAAGTTATTTAGGTCGTTGACAAATATTTATTTGTCGAATAATAATAATAATAATAATAATAAACTTTTATTTCTGTTTTTTTTTACTTCAAAAAAAAAATTGACTTGCCCAAAAAAATGGGATATAGGGGCAAAGTATTTATTTATTTATTTTTTATTTTTATTACATAATGAGAGGTAATCATTTCTCATTTTTTATCACACTTTACCCATATGTCATGTAATTCGAACTCATAATCTTTTATTTTCAGTAAAATGAGATGACCATTAAATTTTTAGGTTGTTGACAAATATTTATTTGTTGAGATGGTATGTATCATTGGATATTTTCCGACAACTTATTTTAATTTCACCTTATATTGGAAAAATTGATTGCGATTCTAACTTAATTACAATTTTACGTTGTGCTATAAAACGTACATTTCAATGGAAAACTATCAAAAACCACAAAATGAATGCCCCTTAAGTATTTTTTTAATATCAAGTAGAGTTTCTTATTTTGTTATTTAACTTACACCATAATGTAAAATAATAATTATTTGATGAGAAAAAAAAATCTTAATATTAAGGAATCTATCATATATTTAACAATTTAAGTTGTATAATTTAAACCTACAATATAAATATATATATTATATTGAGATGTGTTATTCTATAGGTGATTTCAAATATAAACAAATTAAAAGAATATGCTCAAATACTACATGGTTGGGTAAAGCCAGGTAGCTCGGAGAAACGACAGTAGGAATTGAAGAAGTTTCCAAGAATGCAAATGGATGTCCCTAACCCCTTTCCCCTGGCAATAAATAGTCAAAGATAAAAAAGAACAGCCTGGAAATTGCTAGTTCTTTAACAATGTAGCTCCATCCACGCGGACAATACTTCGTGTGTAGTTATTGTTACATTAAAAAGTATTAGGATTATTTATTTTTAATTTTTTATAATATTTAAACATATTAATTTATTAATTATTAAATATTAATTATTTTTATTAATAAAATAAAATAAAATAAATATTTTTAAACTTAACATTATATATATATATATATATTTTTTGTGACCTCAATATTTTGTTCGGTGGGCATGGGAGTGCCCAATACTTCCCTTCCATCCAATCCTCAATGATTTAAGCTGGGTTTTGACTTTGGTTGGGCCCTTATGGGGCCAAAATTTTTCATTGACCCAATTGAGTCATTGGACAGGGCTAGTTTAGCAGCCCCAATTTGAGCCTAATTGCGTTGCCTTGACGCCCAAGATCTGAGCGATTTGACCCAACGAGATATTTAAGTGAAAGAAAATTATTCTCCAAGGGATTCCGTCTGCAGAATCTCTTTTTTTGTTTCAAAGCCTCCGAAAAATCAAAACGCAATCCAGATTCCAGATTCCAGATTCTTCAATTTTAATTTTAGGGTTTTATTTATGTAGAATGTGTTGCGTAATTTATTTTGTATTAAATTATATAATATTAATTATTAAATATAAATTAAATCCTTTCTCTTACAATTTATTACTTCCAAGGAAAAGAATTTAATTTTATTAAATTTAAACCTTTTAGAGGAAAAAATTTTTTCTATAAAACTTGATCATAAATTTTTTTAAACACAATTTAGGGGAATGAGATTTTATTTATTTATTTTAGTTATATAATAATAGATAATTATCTTTAATTTTTTATAATATTTTATTTATATATCATACGAATTCTTCAAAATGAGATTTTTTTGAAACAAACTATTTGAACCTAAAAATTTGATCAATAAAATTTAATCATAATTTGCTTTAAATTAATCAAAATACATATTAAACCCCTCCGATGACTATATTTTACCCTGTGCATTCCATGGTATAAAATAGGTTCTCTTCATCTATATATTTAGTAAGATTTTTTTAATTCTTAACTACATACACATTCACACAACCGTCCTCACCCCACTTTTCCTCCACGAAAAACGCCAGAAGAAGATGGTGAAAGACGACGATGATTCCGAGAAGACATTGGAGCTGTTCTTGAAGCTTGGCTTAGATGAACGAACTGTTCGGAACACCATCGCTAACAACAAGGTCACCGCCAATCTTACTGCCGTCATTCACGAGGTAACTTTCCTTTCTTCTTTTGTTTGGTTCCTGAGAAACGAAAATGGAAAGAAGTACTAATTGTTCGATAGCTATTTCCCTTCTTCAGCATCAGAATAAGAATGCTATTGTAATTTTGCATAAAATTTGCGTTTTTGTAACGTAAAATTCTGCTCTTTGTGATATTTTCAGGCAGAAGTCACTGAGGGATGCGACCGGTTGATTGGAAATCTCTTATACACAGTACGATTCCTCATCTACGCTTACTTATTGTTAGATGAATACCCATTAGTTCAATTAACTGCAGTAGGATTGAATTTTCTGTTTCTATTCTTGGTCTGGTGTAGTAGCTGAGACTGTTTTGTATGCGTTTGTGAATGACAGGTAGCCACAAAATACCCGGCCAATGCTCTTGTGCATCGGCCAACTTTGCTGAACTATGTTGTGACTTCCAAGGTTAAAAAACCTCTCTTTTCCACCCCTTTAAGTGGTCTGCTTATTGCCTGTCTGTATTTCCAGCATTGGTTGCAAATTCACGGCGTTGATTTTTCCTAAGTAGCTCAATTAATGTTGTTTGACATGGGATGAAATTGCTAACATCTTGACATTTTTGCAGATTAAGACCCCAGCGCAGTTAGAAGCTGCCTTTTCATTTTTCACTACTGTTGGTTCGGACAATTTTAAGTTGAATGAATTTGAAGAAGCATGTGGCGTTGGTATGACTGAAAATGACTGATTTTTACTAACTCCAGCATTGGTTTTGTGATCTTTTGGTTTACATTTCTTTTTAGTGGAGTTAATAGTTAGTATGATGTTGTTTAGCTTAGAACTAATATGTTTGTCCTATTTTTGTAGCTCTCATAGTTTAATCTTTTTGTTGTTTGTTTTCAGGCATTGAAGTTCCTGTTGAAGAAATTGAGAGCACAGTCAATGAAATTTTTGAAGAGAACAAGGCTATGATTTTGGAGCGAAGATATCGAACAAATGGTCAGTGTCTAAATTAAACATGAAAAATGTTCAATTGTTCATTTGCAAACACACAATCAGTACTTACATGAAGAAATATGCATGATTGTGGCTTCAAATGCAATATATGACTTCTTAGAATAAGTGAGATGTTGCAACCTTCATTTTTCTTTTCTATTTCATCATCCCAGATCATGATTCTCCATTCTGTTCTCATAAAACCTTTATTCTTGCTTTATCTGTCTTTTATTGATCTTTCCTTTTGATATTATTAAATTGTTGTTTGTTTGAAGATTGTGGCCTTTTCATGCTTGAATGTTCATTTGTGTCTCTTCTCCAACTCCCTATCTTTATTGACATCTTCATTTTTCATCTCTAGTGGGTGAACTTTTGGGGGGTGTCCGGAAGAGGCACCCTTGGGCTGATTCAAAGATAGCTAAGGTGTGTCTTCTATCTACCTAGTTTTTTACAGAATCTAAATAGGATGTTTAAAAGTGCTATGATTCTCTTGGCTATTTCTTTGACAGCAACTTGTTGATACAAAAATGTTTGAATTACTTGGTGAGAGGACAGCAGCAGATGATGAGAAGCCCACTAAAAAGAAGGAGAAACCTGCTAAAGTCGAGGTGAGAATTCTGATGTTCTTTTTATGTTTTACTTGCGGATTTTTTATTATTATTTTAACTTCCTTCTAAGCACACGACACCTGTGTAGGATAAAGTCACTGCCAATGATGCTCCCCCTCAGCCATCTGAAGAAGAACTTAATCCATTTTCAATATTTCCCTCACCAGCAGATAATATTAAGGTGGATAAAGTAACTGTCTTTTATGAATATTACTCTAGTTGGAACCCTCATTATTTAATTACATGTTAGCCGGTATCACTGGAGTTCTTAATCAATGGTGACTCTCCTTTGGTTAATAGGTGCATACTGAAGTATTTTTCAGCAATGGCTCAGTGCTGAGATGTTGCAACACGAGGGAAATGCTTGAAAGGCACTTGAAGGTGACAGAGGGCAAAGTTTTTACTCGTTTTCCTCCTGAGCCAAATGGGTATCTACACATTGGACATGCAAAAGTGTGTATCTTGAGAACTCATACCAGACAGAAGATGTGGCAATTTTTTTTTTTTTTTTTTGGATATACTTTCTTTTAAAATAATTTTTCCTAATTGTATAACTCTCTCTTAGGCAATGTTTATTGACTTTGGCCTTGCAAAAGAGAGGGGTGGGTGCTGCTACCTGAGGTAAAAATCTCTCTTTTTTATTACAGCTATGAGTTAATATAGATAAAGGTGACAGCTGTTCCAAATGATTCTTATCCTCTGTTTAGATATGATGATACAAACCCAGAAGCTGAAAAGCAAGAATATATTGATCATATCAAAGAAATTGTGGAGTGGATGGGTTGGAAACCTTTCAAGGTATAAAATTTATATTAATGCAATATGTATTATATGGATGTTTATTAGTTTTCTGACATCCTTTTCTTGTTCCATTTTGCAGATTACTTATACCAGTGACTATTTTCAGGAGCTATATGAGTTGGCAGTGGAGCTAATACGAAGGGGTCATGCATATGTTGATCATCAGGTTGAAATGCATGATAATCTTGTCTGTGGTTATTGTGCATGCTGCACTGTTTTCTTTTAGTTTCAGTGGTGACATTGGTGTAGAGAACTAACCTACTCTGGATTTCTTGGTGCTAGACTCCTGACGAGATAAAAGAATATAGGGAAAAGAAGATGAATAGCCCATGGAGGGACCGACCCATTGAAGAGTCATTGAAGCTTTTTGATGACATGAAGCGGGGTCTGATTAAAGAGGGCGAAGCAACACTTAGAATGAAGCAAGATATGCAAAGTGATAACTATAACATGTATGACCTCATTGCATACCGTATCAAGGTAATTGTGCACATAAATATTTTGGTTGGCTAAGCTGTCTATTTTCCTTGTGTCATTAATGGTCTGACTCCCTCTCTCCCTCCCTTTCCAGTTTACTCCTCATCCGCATGCAGGAGACAAGTGGTGTATTTATCCCAGTTATGATTATTCTCATTGCATTGTGGATTCTCTGGAGAACATCACACATTCGGTATTTCATTCCTTCTTGTTTCCTCAATTAATGAGTATGTTCAAATATTATTTCCAAGTTCTTTTCTCAAGGTCTCTTGTTTCCTTTAAGAGAAGTACAGTATACAAGTGTTATATTATTAACAATTAACAATTTATGCTATTCATTTTGGTTTCTCACATTGTGTTTTATGTAGCTCTGCACACTTGAATTTGAGACACGACGTGCTTCATACTACTGGCTATTACACGAACTGGACCTCTACCAACCATATGTCTGGGAATACTCACGGCTGAATGTTACAAATACCGTGATGTCCAAGCGGAAGGTAAGCAAACAGAATAGATATTTTTGCACTGGATGCTTCAAAGTGTTCTTTATTGGGTTAATTGACAATGTTTTCCAATATTCATTTGACTGTATATGATTTGCAGTTAAACTTCTTAGTGACAAACAAATATATTGATGGTTGGGATGATCCTCGTCTTATGACACTAGCTGGATTAAGGCGAAGGGGAGTAACTGCAGCTTCAATCAATGCTTTTGTTCGGGGGATAGGAATTACTAGAAGGTCAAAAATTCACATTGCCATACATGTTTTTTATATGATTGCTATATTTATATTCAATTAGGGAAAGGCTATTTTTGTAGTATCTGCTGTGCTTTTCTTTCAATTGATAAACTTTAACTTGTGTTCAACAGTGATGGTTGTATAATACATGTGGATCGACTTGAGTATCACATAAGAGAAGAACTAAACAAGACAGCACCACGCACAATGGTTGTGCTACATCCTCTCAAGGTTGGCATGGTTTTTGCATTCTTCCTTTAGAAACCATCTCTACTGTCTGTCCAGCTCACTAACCCTTATTCTCAGGTAGTCATTACCAACCTTGAATCTGGATCAGTTATGAATCTTGATGCAAAGAGATGGCCTGATGCACAAACAGATGATGCCACTGCATTTTACAAGGTGACGAGAAATTAGAGTAGCATGTTTCTAGATAATAGGGTCTAGTTTTTTGAGAGAGGAATTTGCATTGTAGATTAAAACATCTTCAGAATTGTTGTAGATATTACATCTGAAGCTAAACTTCAACTTCAGTAGCTAAGATAGATATTTGCTTGAAGTCTAATTTTGCCCCAGATATTTGGTGTTCTAATCTGTAACTGCAGCCACTTCTCTTGCCTTGCCCTGAATTTAGGTTCCCTTTTCCAATGTTGTCTACATTGAACACTCTGATTTTCGGATGAAAGATTCTAAAGACTACTATGGGTTGGCGCTTGGCAAGTCGGCTCTACTAAGGCACGCATATATTAGAAATTTGGGTTAAAAAATTTGCTTTAGCACACTTGGAGTTAGTACTCTGAACCCTTTTTACATGTGCAGATATGCATTCCCCATAAAGTGCACAGATGTAATATTAGCTGATGACAATGAAACTGTTCTTGAGATACGTGCTGAATATGATCCTTTCAAAAAAGCCAAGCCAAAGGTTTAATTTTTGTCTTTATTCATATGTGTTTTTAATATTGTACTGTGATTTTCTAAGATATTGTGATAATTTGAATGACTGTCGTTGGGGCAGTACTTGTTTCAATAGTTTGATATTTAATTTTTTAGGTGATTATTTTTCTTTTTTGCACAGGGGGTTCTTCACTGGGTTGCAGAAGCTTCCCCAGGGGTTAATCCACTGAAGGTGGAAGTCCGACTGTTTGAGAAACTCTTCATATCTGAGGTTTGCACTTGTTTATTGGATTCATTTCTTGCTTTTTAGCCCAAGAATGTTGGAAGAATTCTAACAGCTTCTACTTGTTTTATCAGAATCCTTCTGAGCTAGAGGATTGGCGTAAAGGTCTGAACCCTGAATCCAAAGTGGTGATACCTGCTGCGTATGCAGTATCATCACTTCGTGATGCTGTTGTAGGGGACCAATTTCAGTTTGAGAGGCTAGGTAGATTTCACAATCCTTTTTTAGCTTTTGCTGTGGGAAAAATTTTCTTTTGGTATATTTATCTTGCTAGGGGAAACTTAGATGGCATAAAAACCATGATATCTGTATGTTTTTGTTCACTCTGCATAGGATGATTGGAAGTTCCATCTTTGGCTACCATAACCATGAATTTCCTCTTCTTTTTTTTTTTCTTTTTTTTTTTTTGTGGGGCACTGGATAAAAAGGGGAAAGTTAAAAAGGCTTTACAGATTCTGGTAAATGAAAATTTTGACTTTAGAAGTTAAATTTTGAAACTTGTGATGCAAAGGAAACTTGATTTGACATGTTATTACTCGTGGCGTCTATTTGTTTGGAGCTAAAATGAAAAGGAAAACTACTTATTTTTTGTGTAATAAAACTGTTCACAAATTTGAATTACCTTTTGACGTGGGTGCTAATAAATATTTGATATTGCTGGGTTTTCAGTGTAAGGCTGTTTTACCATCCTGCATATATCCTTTTAGCATTTTTTTTTTCCC